GGCGTGAGAAAGTCCAGAGCGGGCGTCGGGCCCACGGAAAGGGCGGAGGGGTTGGGCCCCCGAGGGGCAGGAACGGACGGAAGTAAGGTAGTTGACGAGCCGAGGAGGGGCGCCCCAAGTAGGGCCGGGGAAGGCAAGGAAAGCCTGCCCGGCACCGGACAGGCAAGGGGCGAGTCCTGCAGTAAGGTAGGCAACCGTAAGAGAGGGCCAGAGAAAAGGATGCGCAGAGAGAGGGGGCGCGCACCGGGTAGGCAGAAGACACAGTCGGATGAGGAGGATTCGCATAGACGAGGCGTAACAACGGCGAAGGAGGTCGCCGCTTCTGTGGAGAAGCAGAGGCTGGGTGGAGGCGAAGGTGAATGGCAAAGTAGCGACGAGCGAAGTTACCTGTGGCACGAGCCGAACTAGAGGCAACGCGGCGGAGTCTTGGGAACGAGGTAGAGAATATGAATGGTAGGTAAGAGAGTCGGCATGAGGCTGGAGGCTTACGTTTTCTGCTGTCGATGACTGCATTAGGTTATTTTCGTACTCTCTACTCGATTGCCGTGCGAGCGGCCCACCCGCCCTCCCACTAACAGCCAAATGGCTGATCGGAATTGTCTTTGAAGGGTTTGGGTACCGCGGGAGTGTGGTCGCAGACGCAATGGCCTTCCCCACAATAAGTTAGTAGTGAGTACGGATCACGCGATGACGTTTAAGCAATAATGCGTCCACACAGGCCTCGGTAATGTGAGCCCAGGTGTGAAAAAATAGTACGTAAACCACATCGTAGCGTGTATGGTCAGCAGCTATACACGTGACGTCATGCAAAGAAACCAAGTTTCGGGAAAAGTTCGCTTATTGCTCAGCCCTGCCGTGTTGCGTTATAGTAGCTAAGCCACCAGCCGCCAGCTCGGCTTGGTAGCAAACAACCCAACTGTAACAACCACACACACACACACACACACACACACACACACACACACACACACACACACACACACACACACACACATTGCGGAAGTTGCACTCGTGGCCGGTCGTGATGACATTATGGTCTTGAAAGGATCCACAAGTGCAAAGATCACTGGGCAGTATTGATTGAGAGGGCCGTCACCCAGTCCTGACCTGAGCCGCAGTGCTGTCCGTCACATAATGCCCCCGCACTCTTCCAGCGGGCCAGCTTCTGCACCAGAGGCTGCGGTCCGCACCCCCGTTGTCAACGGCAGCGGTCACACCCCAAGATTGCAGTGCGTGTGTTCCAAAGTGCGGCGACGGCCCTGCCTCCATGACAAGCCTCCGCGGGTGGCCCAAGAACGTGCGGTATGGCTGGGGTGGGATGGGTGTATTGAGCGGCGCAGTGCGCTGCTCTAAGCTCAGCACGCGCGCCGCGCTTACTGTGACCCGGCGGAGGAGTGAGTCCACATCCTTGACCAAGACATAGCGCCCCGCAACCGCCGCCTCTTTTGCTTCGGCAGGCGAACATGCTGCCCCCTTTGGCCAACATGCACCCCCTCCAGCCGAGTCACTAGGCAGCAGTGGTCACTCTGAAAGCCGCATGTGCGGTCTGTCCCGCGCCATTCCGGTCCGTCTTGCGCTTCCATGAGATGATTTCCGCACCTACATCTGGTGGGATGTGCAGCAGTGATGTCGTAATGCACCAGGACCCAGACCCAGGCGAGGCCATCGAACCGCAGCAATGCGAGCCGGCACAATTGGGCGCACACGGCATGCATGCGTGTCTGCAAGTCAGGATCTGGGCTGTTCAGAGGAAAACGGAACTCGACCGAGGAGCATGGAAGCTTCCGGATATCCACCTCGGTGATGAACCGGCCCCCCTGGGTTCCGGCTGTGCATGTGCCGTGAGTGTGTGAGTGTGTGTGTGTGTGTGTGTGTGTGTGTGTGTGTGTGTGCATGTGCCGTGTGTGTGTGTGTGCATGTGCCGTGTGTGTGTGTGTGTGTGTGTTGCCACCTTGCGCGCGATACACAGGTAGCTTCACAGTGGGTGGGCGAGCTTCACAAGCTGCTGAGCAATGACCTGCTGGTGCGGTGAGCCTGCAAACGGTCCCAAGCCCACAAGGGTGCTATCGAGAGTATCAGAGTATAAGAGTATTTCAGTTGCAACGGTGGCACCGGCACACGGGGTTTGGTGCCGTCTGCAAAGTCCAGCAGGAGTCCGACCGTGCACCATGCTGGTGTGTCAATACCCCGTGGGTTACACTGAGTGGAGTGGATTAGGCCCTCTTCATGCGGAAACACGTGCAGGGCCTTGACGGAAAACGACAAAAAAGCCACCCCGGCCACCCCAGCCACCTTCTGCACGAAGGTTCGGAACGGCCTGCCGCATCCGTATGTATTTTTTTTCTGTGTGTGTGTGTGTTACATGGTTGGGGGTGCGTGACCCCATACCTGTAAGACTACCCATACGAGCCGAGGGCCCAAGGGCAATACTACAACGCCTAAAAGCCACGGAGAAAAAGGAAAAAACACCGCACATCAGCCCAGACTAACGTCCAAAGGGGGTAATTGAGTTTCGGTGAGCCCACATACGTTCCAACATCCTCGCCAGACGTGCGGGTTCCCATTGCATGGCCTCCAACATACTCTGTTGATGATCGAATCCCTCTTCAGCACGAATATCATTATAGGCTGGGCATTCCAATAACACGTGTTTTTCATCCTCAATTCGGCTATTAGGACCACAACAGTGGCAAAACCGCTGCCCCCTGGGGACATGGTACTTGCCCCTTCGTGCTCTGTTCGCCTCCGAAGCCCAGCAACATAAACGAAACTGCATTAGCTTACGATGTGCTAAACGAGGAATGAAAACCTTAGCATGTGTTGGCCACATGACGGCTGCGGCTCCCGAAAAGGGCAGCCCCATCCAGTGCTTATACTTCGCCATTTGCACTCCCGGTTGCTTCCCATCTGATGGGTACTCCTCTGGCAAGACAGTCAGACGCGTATGGTCCCAGCCGCTCATCAAACGCTCTCTTAGTGCCGTTATTATCGCTCCTTCTGGTAGAGGTCTACTCAACAACCAGTCAACACGCTCCTTTACCCCCACGACTTCTTGCGGTATTCCGCTCCAAATGTTGCACTCCAAGAAGGAAAACAGTCGTAACATTGAGATTCCCCAACCCTCCCATTCCGGGTTGGTCAGGGCATCGGTTATCTCCTGCCGTAAAACTGCATGAGCAATGGATCCCACTTGCTTTTGAAGGCGGTTCCAGAAACGGAGGATCTGCTTCACCATGTAATATTGTAAGGGGAGTTCAGCCAGCTCCGCGTACAACAGCCTGTGGGATGGCCGTGCCGTCCCCACTACCTGCCTCATGAATAAAATCTGCAGCTGAACTGCACTATCCTTCAAACAGGCTTCGAACATGCCCTCCGCAAGGTTGGCTTTATCCCGCCGCCTTCCCGCCCTGTCCACGACCTCTGCCAGCGCAAAAGGGCCCCACGCCTGGCAGCCATACAACAGAATTGCTCGGACTTGGGTTGCATCCGTATGTATGTATGACAATGGGGAGTTCACGTGGGTAGGTTACCCAAGGGGTTTATTCCCATCCCCATCATATGCTGCAAAAAATAATTGTGCTAGGACTGCAATTCTTTGGCGACTGACAGACAGACATTGGTCGGCGGTGGTTGTAGGACCAGGCCTTGACCTCCTCCACGACCCAACCGCTCAAATACCGCGCCGTAAAAGCACCGAAACATTTTCCGACCGAGTGCGACAGCAGCGTGAAAGCAGTGTGCCTGAAAGGGCCCCCACACCGCACACCTGGTAGGGATGATCCCGCGTCAAACGCCGCCAGAGCTGCACCGACTGTCCTCTGCACTGCGAGGCGCTCCCCTTCGGATACGAAAAGGGCGCCCTTGGCGGTGTCAACCACCGCGCCCAACCACCGCTCCTCTCTCTGTTCCGGTCCTAAAGAGCACTTCTTGCCACTAGCCAAGAATGCCGCGTTATCCAAGTCTGTGGGAACCCGCTCTTGCCACTGCAGTAGGGCGCCCTCATGCTGGTGTGCATGTAGGCTATCGTCAATGTAGCAGCGAGCAGCGGTAGCCTTCAGATTGCCGTAGCTGCTGCAGCTCGCGAGTGACTTTGGCGAAAAGCCAACAGGCTGGTGCGCGCACACACGCACATGGCAACTGACACACAAACTGATAAAACTGACCTTGCCACTCGAAGTCCAGGAGCTCCTCGGAGGCATCCTCGCAGGCGATAGCCAGACTTAGGATTTCTCGACGGCTGGTGTGAGAGCTGGCCGGTTTGCGCGGGGCGAACTTGCGTTTGACGCACTGTTACTGCGCACTAGTGGCCGATAACGATGACAGTTACCTGTCCTACACCGACTCCTAAGATATCCGATTTTTTAAATTTTCCTAAGTTCGATAACCTTTTGTTTAATTTAAGCTTTAGCCAGGGCTCCGACAAGGGCCGAAGAAGAGCCACCCGGGCGACCTCACCCGCGGAAAGCAGCGATAAAACCGGGGACCGCTGTGCATTGGTGGCAACCCCGGGATGGGTGTGTGGGTGGGGGGAAAGCTAGAGGGCACTGTCCCAGCAGCGGGACACACCTCCTGGTAATAATAGTCAAATCAACGGCAGTTGAAAAACCAATGCGCCTGCACGACCCAAGTAGAAGCTTGGCGTCACCTGCCGTACTTTGGTCGCATGCATGCGCCCTGCTTCCACGCACCACGGCAGTTTTTTCCGCAATAACTTGCCTATCTCTACACTCATAATTCGCTTCGACTTCTCGAAGCGTAACATTTTGGAATGAGTTTTCATCTGTTATAGTAACCGACGTAAGTTGCGAGCAGGTAGCAAGGCTGTTAAGACGAAACGGTAAATTCAATAATCCGAAAAAATAGAACAGCCATACAGAACAGCTTGGAAGCATAATCTTGGTAAGTATTTATTTGAGAAGCTACGTCGCTTCATGGCTTCCTCTTGCAGGATTGATGAAGACCTGCATCGCCAAGAGCCTGTAACCGGAAACATGACAACGATAGCCTTGCCTACTTGCGCATCCCAACAAATAAATTCTCGCATAAAAGTACACAAAGATCGCTACAACTACCAGCTGACATCCCCTTCATGACGCACAAAAAAAACCATGCCGTAATACCATATTGAGACTTCCTGTGCGACCAGCAACCGCTCAGCCGCGAATTCACGATGAAGCACCCCAGAACCTCTAATGCACAATCCGGTCGAACCTTAAGCGAAAAAAGATATCCTTGCGAAGAAAGACCTTTCCCCAAGACCAGATTTTCAAAATATTGTTGGAAAAACTTAACGCCGGTCCCTCTCTTTCTGCAGGATCTCGGCCTTTTGTCTCCGGGACTTCCCATTCACGGGACTAGTCCTCTTGAATGAAACACGCTAGCTCGCTGACTCTCGTTCCCCCGCTAATCATATCCAAGCAGCAACCAGCAATCGAAAAAGATTCTTGTGCTCCCCTTTCCTCTCCTCCTCTCCTCTCCTACACAGCTCAACCGCAACACACGCAGCAAGAACCGCCCCCGTTTCACCGTCACGCGGCAAAAACCCTGTGTGCAAAACGAGTTTTTTTCCGTCAAATTTCCAGAAAACAGTACTTCATGGACCGCCTGTGAACGTCTTCACCACGCCCCACATGGCGCTTGTCTCCGCGCGGGCCGCCGGCTCTGCGCCTTCCGAATGCTCCAGGGATCCCATATTCCAGGCGCCCACACCTCGAAAACCCAAATCGCGCGCGAGCGCATATCGCAAAGTTAGACTCTCCGGTGTTTCAAACCAAACCTGCAGAACAGAGCAAGCGTACGGGTCTTAAGATTAAAGCCTTATGATTTCAATGCGCAATTTGATCCTTTTGATGACGCCGTTTAAGTTCTCCATTCCGAACGCTGGCAGGTTGACAATCTTTTCGTGCCGTACCTGATGTACGGCACCGCTTTTCTCGTCCACATAGTTGAACCGCGGACTCTCGGCTAGGGGGTCCCATACCAGGCTTGTGGTGTTGCGTCCTGATCGCAGCACTGCAAAAGGATACGACAAATCGCGACATTATTTCCAGAAACCAGAAAACGGAAGCTAGGAATACATATACGTCAGGAATATACATATATACATACATACATTTGAAACGCTGCGGTCCGTTACGGCCGAGTTGGTTAGGACCGCAAGAACGACATAACGCAGCGATACAGCAGCACCTGCACGACGACGAATATACATCCTATACCGGAAAATAGACGTTAGTTGGATTGTACGGCACGCGGCGTTCACACGTTACACACTGTACGGATAAAACGACAAACGCCATCACTTACGCGCCATTATATCCTTGTAATCCCGCTGGGCCCCCGCTGCGTCGCTGCAGGGGCATCCCCGGTACTCAACCGGGCGGATGAGGCAGACATCGATGTGGGCTTCAGGTGCCGTACCGTGCTCGTCCCGCTCGCAGGGATAGTCGTACCCGTACCTGCAGCGGCACATGACACGCATTCAATTGTCGTAGATAACGAATGCCGTGCATCTCTATTCATATGCCCCCGCGTTCCAGATGCTACCGGTGGAATGTTCAGGGTTTTAAGGTTTTAGGGTTTTAAGGTTTTAGGGTTTCAAGGACATGTTTTAGGTGAGCACCGTACGGGTGAGGGTTGTACGGGTGAGCAGGTGGGGGGTAAAGCACACACAGTAACAAGCGTAGAGCAGTGCGAGCGTAGAGCAGTGTGCACCTGTGACGTGTGTGTGTATGTGTGTGTGTGTGTGCGAGCGGAGAGTGTAAATCTTTAGGATGGTGAGGTGGCGAAACTCACCACGCTACACCCAGAATCAATTTGCTTGGGGAGATCCCGAGATCCAGGTACTGACGTACACCCTTCAGGATCTTGGATTCAAAGAATTCAAACGTATGGGGTGATGGAATACACAGGTGGTGCGGGTTGGGGTCGAACAGTGAGTGAGCATGTGAGAAGAAGCAAGAGCAGAAAGCTGGAGGCTGCGTGGGCTGCAAGGCAGGTACGGGCAGGTAGCTACTATGACCACAGGGGAGGATGGCGATGATATCGAACGTAACGGAAGACCTGTATGGGACCGCAAAGGAAAGATTTTGACTTTCCACTCGGAGGGGGACTTCAAAATGATATTGCTAAATTACGGTAGACGGCAGCAAACGTCAGCTGATGAACTGGATTGTTCCCACCTGGTTTTGATTACCGTTTCTGTAATCCGGGTACGGCACAAATAATAATGGGAGTCGGAGAGTACCCAACAAAGTACCACCCCGCTCCCTGCTCTGGCAACCCCCACGCCTACCTCCCCCATCTACTCTCTACATTATTCCTTACGGCAGTTCTTAGAACAATCGGCCTGTACATTGCCGTAACCCGACTAACCTGAGGCAGCGGGCTGTTGGCGGCGGCGGCGCAGCGGCCGAATATCTGCAATAACATACATACATACATAGGTATATAGGTATAGATATACACACACATACATATAATACATATGCATATACATAAGTTTCTTGATATATAAAGCTTACCTTGCAGCAATGAATAATGCTTTGGTCAGATATTACTATAGCGCCGAAGAAAGAAGAAAACCTATAATTTTCTAGCTATCCTTTATAAGTCTGATCCACTATATTTACAGTTTACTTATACATGGTGTACATACATACACACATGCATCCACTGTGCAAAAACTAATTGCTTGGGATCAAGTCACCCGTTTCAGGACAGTTCCGAACTGTGGGAGTCCCACGTGGCTGAAAGTTCATAAAACACACACACAAACACACATGCATACAGGCATACATACGGGCAGTTATACGGGCGGACATACAGACACACTGCCGATGTGGGCGCCCAAATCCATTCCCCCGACCTCGACATCCCCATCGGGACATACACATACATGCCGACGCACATCAACATGCGGTCCCTGACACACACACACACACACACACACACATGTAAAACACACACCAACACACCAACACACCAACACACCAACACACGGTGTGTTGTTATTGATGTTCTTGTTAGTCGATCATGTAGAGCACTGGCTACCTAGCCAGCTAGCTAACCTTCACCGCGAAGCTGCTGCCCCCTACTTGGGCATCATCGTACTTGCATTCTTGCATCATGTACGACATACACACCTGGGCTTGCATATCGTACGACATGACGAACAATCTGTCGGCCGCGGCCGCAAGGCCCACGTAGTCATAGTCCCGTCCATCATTACCAAAAGGCGCCCAGGGAACATCAACCGAAATCTGCAACAACATAATCCGTAAGACCGTTAAAATTTGACAACCCCGCAAACCACACATAGCTCTCAGGGTTTGTTCTACCCACGGAGGGGGGTACGGGATTGCCTAAGTAAGTAACGGGGTTCGCTGTGTCAGGCAGCTTTTTTGTGTACCCTCCTAGGACGCCTGCATCGCCAGATATGGAGGAGGAGGTAAGGCGAGAGATTTTCCTGCCTTCAGTAACGCCACCCGATTTACAGTTTTAGGGTTTTATAGTTTTTCCAAGGTCCTGTGGCGGCTTCCAGCTGTGCGCTGTGTGTAGATGCGAGGGGGGGGGGTAGATGTGACACGGCGGACCTCCTAGTGGGCCTACTACCATCACCATCGCCACCATCACCATCGCCATCATCACCATCGCCATCACCATCGCCATCGCCATCGCCATCGCCATCTCCATCGCCATCACCATCACCACCATCATCACCACCATCATCGCCATCACCATCGCCATCTCCATCGCCATCATCACCACCATCATCACCACCATCATCGCCATCACCATCACCATCATCGCCATCACCACCACCATCACCATCACCATCGCCACCATCATCTCGTTGGCCTCACCTTGGCATGTGGATTTAGCTGTCGCATGGCGGTCGCCGTGTCCCTCACCAACGCGGTGTAGTTCAGGGCCAGGTCCGACCCCATCTTGGGGAATGAGCGGGGTGGGCGTCCAGGGAGATAAGAGGGGTCAACAGAGAAGAGAGAGAAGAGATTCAAAGAACGCACGGCAACATATTCACCTTAGCGGGAAGCTCGTGGTCGAAATTGATTCCGTCGTACCAGTACGAGCGAGCGAGGTCCACTTGCTTTGCGATCTTGCGTCGGGCCCCGGGCAAGAAGAAAGGAGTGAAAGAAATACGTCGGGAGGTAGTTAGATAGCGGTTGCAACGGTTGTTTGAAGGTCCCCAGTTGGTAGTTTTTCCTCGTATGTGCTGCATATGTACGGCGCATGAACGACACGCAGGCACGTACCCACTTCCGGCGGAAGTCCGTGTCGGCAATGGCGAGGGATACATCATCGGCATTCAGCAATACCCGGACTCCTGTTGGCGGTTGGTGGTTGCGGTTATGGAGGTTGTTGCGGTTGCGGAGGTTAGAGTTTGCAGTTTCAGGATAAAGATCTGATCATGCTTGCGGGATCGGCCTCCGAAACGAAGAAATCTGTTGTTGAAGCATAACTGTTTATCTCGCCCGTGAGTCATAATGTGGTACGACATGACAGCTCTTCCAATGTCGTACCTGCCGCATGTGCGGCGCAGATTACGTCGACCCGCTGCGGGGGCACCCATGCCAGGTCGGTGATCTGGCTCCAGTCGTACAGTGCGACCGGCTGGTCGTACGGATAAAAGAAGCCGAGAAACTGAAGCAGCACATCGAGACGGAAAGGTAGCCGTACATTGGGCGCTGGAAGTCAGGTGTAGCACTAGGATCGGGGGTTGTGTATGAGTATGCGTGTGTGTGCGTGTGTGTGCGTGTGTGTGTGTCACAGCGAGAAACGTGACGTGTCTTCACACCAGCAGACTTCATCGCGTGGGAGAGGTGGTGGACGAAACACCCAGAAGGGCACCTCGGTCGACCTCGGTCCGCCCCGCTAGTTCTCACCTCGCGCTCCTGATCCAAATTTATAAAATCGCAAAGCTCCTGGCGTTTGCAAGGACAGGGCGGTTGCTTCGCCAGTGCACCTTCATCTCCGCGCCCGGAGCTGTACCGAAGGGCAACGCCCATCGGATGATAATGGAGCAACGGCATCCATGCAATTATCGCATAAAATAAAAATTTGTTAACTTGCAAGCCCGGGCGCGTTTGTCGAGAACTACTGCACATTATGTTCCGTAAGGGAGCTTCGGATGGCCGTTGCGCAATTTGCCTACCTAGAATACATGCAATTTCATAGCTGAATTTTACTTCGTGGCTTTTCTATGCTGGGCGCCCTGTAATCGATGTGAATAAACTAACAAGCCGGTGTACCGTTATCGCTTGACTAACTCTTGGACGTTGGACCCAGACATGATGTCGCCAAAAGGTTTCTGTATTTCTGGATTCTGGAACAGGTCCATTTCTGTCTTGCCTCTGGCCGTCGGAGGGCCCTTCGAGCTGCAGAGGAGCTTTCTGGTCTTATCTCTGCAAGCGGGTCGACTCTAGATCTGTTTTCGGGAGTTTCGGTAATGCCCGACCCGAAGCGGTTGCCGATGCGTCTAGGTGAAGGTTCCGATAGGATCCTAAAACATGCTATAGAGGACGGCCCTCCACACGAAGTCCTTGCTGGCTTAGGCCATGACTTATTACGTTTAGTTATTGCAGGACATACGCACCATTAGGTATTGCATATGATGTACATATGCAAAGAAAAAGGCATACCATAAGTTGACTTAGCGTCCGTCGTCGTCGTGAGGAACTACTGGACGACCGCATCCAGCATCCAGTGATTTCCAAACAGTCGTCCCGCTTGCACCCCCCTCTGCTTGCAACCCCCACCTCTTCCCCCCGGCTGCCACACCCCGCGGCCTCTCACCGACAATTGTAGGTCCTAGCCTAACCGTGCCGTGTGCGTGCTCGCTCGCTCCGCTGGTGCATGTGTGCAAGTGACCATTGTCTCAACTTGCACAAGGAATTGTATGTATTGTAGCTAATTGAGCTCCGAACAGCTCCAACCGTTTTTTTTTGCAGAAACGATTACTTTCTGTATGATGGTTTATTTTTTGTAAACCATTTAACAAAAGACGAGTTAATCGCTGCACAAACCATATGCACAAGCAACCTGCTTCATCATCGCCCCAACCATCTCTGACCGCCCACCCAACTAAACCACCTGCCCTGTCCTTCCCACGCCTTCGTCTTATTGCCCGCGGCGCCGCGCCCCGGCAGCACCCGCAAACACCACCTCACAGCATCACCACCACCTTCGCCATTTCCCTCATCGCGGATCACTAAAACCACTAATCACAGCGCCTTTCACAGCACCAAGGGGCTCTTCGCTTTCTTTTTGTAGTAGCTGGTACACAGTACGGCTCTACAAATACGCGCGTAGCGCGACCATCAGCATCTCGAGAGGCCTTTTCAGCGGCCAGCTACTACTCTTTTGGCTTCTGCTCCGGCACCGTTTCAGTACTTTATCGTCGGCCATTTGCCTACTGCTCCGACAAACGTAGGTTTCTGATTGAAACGAAGGAAAACCAGTTGAAGATTTTCAGCGTATTTGCCGATAGCGAACTCGGTTCAATGTCGTTGGTGCGTACGGCTGGACCGTACAGGGCTAGTCTAAGTCGCAAGATCGCACGGAAAGAGTAGAAGTTTCGCGAATTCACAGTGTCAGTACATGACAGTTTTCCGCTGCGGCTTTTGCCTCCTGACCTACCGCATCCAGAAGCATTGCTAATCAGGCTCAACTCCTCCCACGACAGCATGTACCTCTAGATCTCCGTCTGGACGACCCATAAGCGCTAAGGCAACTACTCAGGAAAGCTTCTCTCCGGCGACATCCTTTGCCTTTCCCTTCGTTCACATAAGGTCTGTCAACCTCCTGCTTTAACGGGAAGGGGGGCACCCGCTGCGGTTGCATGACCCTCTTGTTTTGTCCGCTAGCTAGGATGGGAAAGCAGGCTCCAGGTTCTATCCAGTCGGGACTTTGGTTGCCATAGTTGTCGGCAGTCAGTTCTAGCCCCCCCCCCCACACCACCACCACCTAGTCACCCTTTGCCACCACAGCGCTGCCTCCGCTCATTTCTGCGGGGGCCCTTGACATCAATCTTTTATGCCAATAATATCTACTTGGAACACGAAAGCTACATCTAGATTTTCATTGGGAAACCCTAACACTTTGCTGGTAAAACTACAGAGCTCGCTTCGGTAATAATCATTCATGTACCACCATTGGCATTTCCCGCATCGTTAAACGGCTCAGCTCGTTAAAATAAGCATATGCACCACCGCAGCAGAGCAAATTCTTACCCAACAATCCCACCCTCACCGATAAGCAAACCTCGCCCCCTACCTCCCCCTCCCCTCCCCCAACACCCCCCAACACACACACACACACACGTGCGCAACGTGAAGTCATATCCTCAAGCGCAAATTGTGCACACGTGCATGCATACGTGTACACCCCAACCCAAACTCTTAGGGATTTTCGTTGCCAAGTACCCAAGTCCGCCCCCAGGATACGACAGTGTACGACAGAACTACGTCAAGCCTCCCTGTATTGATCCGTACCTGGTGCCCCATATGATGTCGACCATGACGGCCGGGCCGGATCAGCTGTTGACCGTACAACCCCTCAGGGACGTCTCCCTTCTCCGGGATAATAAATATAATACAGAAAGGTTGTTAGCAAGTGATGGGTTCAGTGATGCTGCTGGGAGCCCAGCCAGTCTCCCGTACGTACATACTTGATCGTGGCTACAGTAGTTATATGACACAACATCACTACTACTACTACTACTGTTGTTGCTGTTGTCACTGCTGCTGCTACGTGATGAACTGTTGTAGCGCCACATATCCAGCCCTACCATACTGCCAAATATGTATAACTGCATGTATATATGTATATGTGTATGTATGTATGCATGCATGTATGCGCTTCTACCCTCCATGTTCGGCCCTAATTAGTTACGCCCCAAACCAAAATTCATGGGGTTCCTCAGGGGCAATTCCGATGCACTTCCTCCTCGTCTAATAAGGTGATTTCTGCCCTTTCTACGCTTTTGCCTGCTTTTGCCTGCCTGCCTGCCTCCTCGACCGCCTCCAATGACCCTGCCGCCCTTTCAACGCTTGCCTGCCTGCCTCCACCCGAGCGACCCTAGGACCGCCCCTCTGCAGTAGCTGGTGTCCTAGGAGCCGTAGCTAAACACGAGCCTGAGGTTAGGGGTGGGGAGCATCCATCGTTGCCTCCACTACATGACCCCCACCTTCACTACTACTACTACCACTACTACTACCACTACTACTACTACCACTACTACGACTGTTACTACTATTACCACTACTACTACTACTATCAATACCGGCATTGCCGTTAAGTAGTCCACAATATTCAGCACAACCACCACCTAGAGCCCTATCGTCCACCACACTTCCTGTGCCACTCTGCAATCGCCGTTCACACACATTCACCCCGCCTTCCCCCACCCGCCACGATGTCGCCTTGCTGGGCGAGAGCGGGATGCACCGTTGCCTGGCTGCGGCAAATATGCACATATACATATATTCGCCTCGTACTTGATTCATTGATGCCGTACAGTCCGTACTACCGCGCCGGAAATACCCGCGCTTCATGTCCTGCTAGGCTGTGGCCTGCAAGCAACACCCCGGCAGATCAGATAGCCGTACATCCATACACAAAGGCAGTACATACATCGTACACCCTGTATGGAGGGCAGGGAAAGGACGATTCATTACGTATATTGCTCGGGAGGAGCTCAGATGCTACTAGTAGAGTAAAACAAAACAGGAAGTTGGCGGCTCACTCCCACTTTCCAGTTCAATTAGGTCCCCAACTGGAGGAGAAGCGGGTCCCCCTCCGTCAGGTCGCTGCCGAGGGATCACGCTGGTGAATGGCGCAGCAAGTCCACAAGTCCACATGGCCACAGCTGATACTGAGACTGATGGGAATGGTCATGGCCTGATGGTCATGCTGGTGTTGGTGCTGCTACTCACGTATGCTGCAGCCGTGTCGAATGATACAGTAGCAGTAATGGGTGCACTAGCAGTACCAGCAGCAGCGGCACCAACAGCACCAACAGCAGCACCAACACCAGCCCCAGCCCAGCAGCACCAGTATTGCCAGCACCAGCAGCGGCACCAACAGCACCAACAGCAGCACCACCACCACCACCACCACCAGCGACATCTGCGACCCAGCCTTGGATGCACCACCGAAATGCAGAAGGTCTTATATCGTAACCATTACTAAAACCATTTTACTACCATAACCATCAAAACAGCCACCACACATCATTTACCACCAACCACCAGGAGCAACGCCAACACACACTGCCACCACTCCGCCAAACGATACCACCACTAATATGCATCACCGCCAACGCTGGCGACACCGCCGCTAAACATCACCATTAAACAACACCAGCACCAGCACCAGCACCAGCACCAGACCAGCAGCAACGCCAAACACCTCAACGTACATCAGGCGGGGTTTGTTGCCGCACGTCACGAGAATATTAACATCATCGTCAGGAGAAGTAATAGCTACAGCAACCCCGAACAACGACAACAACAACATCACATACATACATTTCTTACTGCAAATGCAAGCACTACGCCGTACGTACCTTTTTGCGGCATTAGTATGTACCAAGGAATGGTACTAGTAATGCAAACCCTAAATTACCCATCAAGTCTCTCACAAGTACCGAGCAAAACACATGCGAGTGTAATACGACACCGAAACAGCACGCACGGGCAACCCACGGTTAGGAACGCGGAGTTTACGATACGGCTCTTACGACACGTGCGCCGTACGAAACGCTCTCTAGCCCGGGTGGGGCGGGCTTCATCACCCCCACACGAGGACTCACGGGTACTCCTGCTGCTACACACTGCTTCGGGCTGTAGCGCGCTGTAGCGCCACCGCTGCATGAAAACAACAAAAACATCGCCTCTCCAGGACCGCGGAGAGACCTCCGAAACCGCTCTTCCCCCCCACTCCCTCCCCGCCCTACAACTCTGCTTTCCTTGTATACCCTTTACCACGGGGCACCAACTGGCCAACTGCCTAACTGTACTACAAACTGCTCGGCTTGCCACCTAAGATAATAATAATAATATTATTATTGTTGTTGTTGTTATTACTATTATTATACTTGAGAGGTATTAAAACCCGGGTATTATTAGTATCATATTCTTAATATTTATTATTTTATTTACCCGAAAAAGGGGTTCAAGCTCGCCGTGGTGCACCACACCACAAGGCACGCGGCACACTACTTCACCACGTAGCGCACATTCCCTTTCCGAGAAGGTAATAGCTGTGTACGACACACCTATATCAACCGCCTGGGCTGCTCAAGACGTAATGGGTAGGAGTACGGAGTACGGTGGTACACAAATCAGGGGCGTGTAAGGCGTTGCATTGGCACACAAGAATATTGAACGAAATCAATCCCCCCAAAGAGGTGTATTTACCACTGAGAGGGATCACTATGGAAAGGGTTGTGCCCGGTGCTGTGGACCTACAAAAGCAAAATGCAGGCTTCAAAACCAGCCCCGTAAACAACTCCCCTTACAGCCAAATTCCTCCCTTTCCCCACGAGTCATGCAATTACCCAGCCCCCTTCCTTGTCCCTGTTAACTTCTGTTAACTTATTACATCTCGTGACGCTTCTTTTCTTCCGATTCTTCGACCCCCCATCTTGAAGCAAGTTTTTAAATCCTAACGGGCGCGAATGGCCCCAGTACAGCGTGGGAAAATGGATTCTGTACGATTGGATTGGGATCTAGGTTGTCCCGCATCGTCGTCCTCATTGCTCTTCGATCTCCCACGATGTCGTGTTGGGCCCTGAATGGTGTGATGTGATGAACCCGGAGTCCGGCGGCGCGCCCCCGGCAGCAGGCGGTGCCATTAAGGAAGCTGCTACAGCTGCTACGGGCGACACGGCGGCGGCGGCGGCGGTGCCTGCTGCCGTGTGCTGCGGCCGGAAGCTCTTCCC